CCACCTTCCTGAAGGGAGGAGAAATTTTTGTCCTTATTTAGTCTGGATGGGAAGTGTCATGGCATTGGTGCATGATGGGTGCTTCTAATCTGCAAGGCTAATTTTATTGTAATGAGGGCATAATGAGCCAAAGGTTACATTCAGACACTGGAGATTCCTGCCTTCTCCCACCTTTCTTTGTCAGCCTCCAGGCTACTTGTCACCCCAAAATGTATGACTGCTTATCTGCACAGAGGTTCCTGCTTTTCTTTCTCTGCCCAGGGACCCCTGTTTGTATGATGTATAGTTTCCTGCATTTGGACTCTGCACCTCCTTTCTGCCCAATTTCTGCCATTTGGCCTGCATTCCCCTTTCTGTGCTCAAATCTGTCTATCTGCCTGCTTTAACATGTTGGAGAACTGAATGTGGGCATGTGAGAGAAGGAGAGGACTTGAAAAGGACTCTAGATTTGGGACCTATGCATCTGGAAGAATTTGGTTGTGGTTGACTGACATGAGGAAGATGTAATTGGAACAGGTTCTTGGGGAGACTTGGGAGCCCCGAGAGATGACGACTAGCAGCCCCGTGGGCTCCAAGTGGATGGAATGACGACGTCCCTGCTGCTGAATGGGTGACATCAGCAGCAGGCAGAGCGTGATTGTGTTTGAAGTGCTCAGTGCATTGACCTGTCTTTTTATTAATCATTGGGGTTGTGTTCCCATTGAAACAGTGCTAGTATAAGCTGATGTCTTGGGTGACAAAACAGTCCAGGGAGGATCTTGACCGTTCCGGAAGGATAGGCTGAATCACACAAGATGAAGTTGCCCTGAACAAACACAAAGTTTTACAAATTTCAGCTGTTCAAGCAATATCTATTTGAGGAATAGCATGGTTGTTAAGAGCACATTGAATGCTAGCTGTCTTCCCTTTTTTCAACTTCTGCTTTCACCTCTTCCTGCCTTAAGATTCATAACTTATTTTATGTTTTCTATAATATTTTCAGTCATTCTCATAATTTTTTACAACTTTTCACCCTTAATCTGACATCTTAGAATACTTTCCAGGGCTTTTAATATTTTTTAATGTATTTTTAAAATTGAGACGTAAGTTACATATTACAAAATTCATCAATTTTAATTATACATTTAATTATACATTTTGATGAGTCTTGATAAAGTTATACCCCATAAACAATCAGCACGTCTGGGTCTACGCTTTTAATATCTTCTAGCTAAAAATAACTGAATTTCTGAACATTCTAAGTGAAAAATCATTGAGTTAAAAATATAATTTTATTTGGTATGAAGGATAAATGAGGGGTTATTAAGAAAAGCAAGAGAATTCTGGAAACCTGATTAGATTGTTTCCTTGTCTTCCGTTTGTCCTCTGACTAAGATAAAGTGCTTGTAGAAAATTCAGAACTTGCCAAGAATAAATTTGATTTCAGGAGACTTAGTGCTCAGCCTGCAGCTGCTGATGAGAATCGGGGCACTCATTCACCTTCTTAGTCTTGGTTTTCTGGTTTATTTACTTCTCATGTTAATATTTTCAGAATCAGGCTTGTATAACACTTACCAACTTACAGTTTTGTAATGTCTGCCTGCTTCTGTTAATGCAAGTTCCATGAGGCTGGGTGCCACCCTCTAGGGTGCCCCCTAGCACAGTGCCTGACACATAGGAAGTCCTCAAAAAATATTGACTGAATGAGTAAATGGAAGAAAGAACAAATAAATAAGCTTGAAATTAGCTCAAGCTACCTATATAGAGATGTGTGAATTAAAGTCCTGACAATGCTGAGCTGAGTTTAATTTTTGTTGAATGTATGTTATGATTGATACTAGGTCAGCCATTTGATATTAATAGTGGCTATTAGACAGTGAGTGTCTCTGACCTATTGAGCAATGGCCTCTCAAAGAATGTGGTCACTCTAGTCATCAGCTGCTGGAGAAGAGGTGTATCTCTTAAGCTGGAAACCTCAAATGAGAGACGGAGCCCTCTTTATCTGGACTATATGGGTATCTCTTACGATGCGTTTATCCTAGTCCTAGGGGGTGAACAACTGTTGGCAGGCTGTCCTGGCTGAGCCACGCATATTGACTATGTCCTGGATCTAACCCTCAGCGACACCAACGGGGAAACTGGACTTTGGGAGCATGCAGAGAATGGGCTGTGTATTGCTGTTAGTTCCACTTTAGGAGATGAGAATGACTTAAGATGTGACAGAAGAGAGAAGGAGAGAGATTTTAATAGGCCTAGAAAAAGAGAAATAATCACAGGTGTGAGGCCCTGAAAAATGTGGCTTCACAGAAGCCAAGTTCCAAGGTCATGCTCTAGCCCACAGGATTGTCTGTTGCTCAGAAAGCCTTCTCCTTTTCTCTGGCTGGAACACCAGTGCCCCAGGTTTTACTATCAAAGTCAGGATAATAACAAAAATACTTATGGATTAAACACAAAAAGCACTGAACATACTTTCCATATGGAGGGAATAGCGTACTCTCTAGTTCTTATATTTGTTTTGTGTTTTATTACATCTGTGTAGTCCATGTGTCAGTCTTTACTTCTACTGTCTCAACCTTCAGAACATCCTCTGAGGGGGGTGTTAATATCCCTTGCTCCTTCCTTTGCAGCCTAGAAAACTGAGGGTCAAGAGTTCAGTGACTACAGGGAACTTTATTCAATATCTTGTAGTAATTTATAATGAAAAAGAATATGAAAAGGAATATATGTATGTATATGTATGTATATGTATGACTGAATCACTATGCTGTGCACCAGAAACTGACACATTGTAAACTGACTATACTTCAATTTAAAAAAGAAAAAGAAAAAAAGAATTTCATGACTGACCAGAGGTTACATAATTAGAAAACTGTTGGGCCAGAATTCAGATTCTGCTATGTCTGACCCCAAAGCTTATGCTTTAGCCACACCAAACCCCTGCCTCTAATAGCATAGAGGCATACAATTCTTAAACACATATCTTTAGAAATTTTAACATTTAAAGCTTTAAAGTTGAAAGACATTGGGGATGGGTATAGCTCAGTGGTAGAGCACATGCTTAGCATGCACAAGGTCCTGGGTTCAATCCCCAGTACCTCTGTTACATAAATAAGTAAACCTAATTACCTCCCTCCTCCAAAAAAAAATAGAAAAATAAAATAATAATCAAGTTGAAAAATGTAATTTTTTTAATGAATTTGTCTCTGACAGTCTAGTTAAGGTCAAGAAATTTGAAAATATCCCCTAAAGTCTCTCTTACTCTTTAGTTCTGTGACATTTCAGTTGCTTTGTCTCCAAGTAAAAAGATAAGATAATCAATAAAATGACCTTTTACACATGTAAGAACCACAATTAGTGAAGCTATTATAGTATTACTCATGTGAGTCCAGAGGACTTGAAAATAATATTTTCCTCTTATTTTAGGAATAAAGCCATAATAGGTTTGGAAGTCAAGCATTTTTGTTAATAGATGCTTAGACACAAAGGTATATTTTATAAAAACATATTCTATTTAGAAAATCTTAATGATATTAGCAGAGCCATTTCTTTTTTCTTTTTTTCTTTTTTTTTTGTTTTGCTTTGTTTTTTGTTATTTTTGTGTGTTTTTTTTTTTTTTTTTGTTCTTAGCAGAGCCATTTCTATCTGACACTGGATTGATTATAGTTTCTCTGTATTATGTCCAATCATTTCTTGTGCAATGCAATATAAGACTACTAACTTGTTTACTTGGATAACAGCTAATCTAGTCATAAATATGAAAGAAGCCATTCAGAATAAGTGAAGTTCAAAATATACTGAAAGAAAAATGTACTTACAACAAATACATTAGTGGTTGTTTATAACTTGCTTCTCTTATAAGCATAAATTACTAAAACACATTCTTATACTACACATGGTAAATATAATTATTAGATCAACTTTGTTTTATGGATAATTGAAAACAGCTATTAAAAACTGGTGCAAGTTAGCTGACCACCACAAGGATGGTACCTAGTTACTGTGGTATATTTATATTTCTGCTTTTTAAAGCAATACATAAACACCAGAAAGAAAATGCACATCATGCATACAAAATAGTAATTTCTGTGGCTGCCACACTTTTGTATTGCTAGGAATTCAGATTTCCTTCCTACCTAGCTCTCAATTAAAAAAAAAAAACCAACTATTTAAATCAGAAAACAAAGGTAAGACCGTATGCCAGATCTGGTGGTAACTAAAACCAGTTTATGCAGATCAGCTTTCTACCAGAAAGTTCCACTTGCCTTGTCCCCAACAGTAGTTGCATACAAAATAAGAAAACTCAAAGGTTCTTCTTTTCAGAGTCTTCTCTTTCATTTAAGGTAAATTTCTCTTTTGAAGTCATGTGATACACAGACAAGGAACAAGTGTTCTAGGCTCTGCTGCAGGAGTTTGTATCCCAGTACCGCCACTTACTGACTGTGTGACCTGGGGCGGGCGCCCCGTCTCATCTTCCCCAGGGGGGTGATAGTAGCAGTCCGTGCCTCATACAAATGCCATGAGGACAAAATAAATACTAGTGCCTAGAGCACAGAAAATTCTCTATAAATAGCCCTTATTATTGCAAAACCGAAGTTTAACTCAGTGGTTATATTATTGAAGTACAGTATAGATGCAGAAAGCTGCTCACATCAAAGTGTTCAACTTACTGAAATTTCATAAGCTGAACAATTCTTTGTAACAGGCACACAGATCATGAAACAGAAACTATACCTGAAGAGCCCTCTTCAGGCCCCCATCTAGGCGTTACCCCTCCCTGTGAGTAACTAGCATCCTGATTTCTGATTGGTTTCATTAATGGCCATTTGTTAAACCTTCATATTGCAGTAATTGATAAGGGATTTATTATAATAGTATTTTATTCTTATTTAATGTCTAAGACAAACTTCTTTGCTGATTAACTCTTTAATAGTTATAAGAAATATTATTTATATATTACAGAATATATAAACTATAATATATAAGGTAATAAAGGTAATATTTTAATATATTTTGTTTTCTAGGTTGAAAAAACTCCTTGAACAAGAAAAGGCTTACCAAGCCCGCAAAGAAAAGGAAAACGCTAAGCGGCTCAACAAACTGAGAGATGAGCTGGTGAAACTCAAGTCCTTTGCACTCATGCTGGTGGATGAAAGGCAAATGCATATCGAGCAACTTGGCCTGCAAAGCCAGAAAGTACAGGACCTGACTCAGAAACTGAGGGAAGAGGAAGAAAAGCTCAAAGCCATTACTTCCAAATCTAAAGAAGACAGGCAGAAATTGCTCAAGCTGGAAGTGGATTTTGAACACAAGGCTTCGAGGTTTTCCCAGGAGCATGAAGAGATGAACGCTAAGCTTGCCAATCAGGAGTCTCACAATAGGCAACTCAGGCTCAAGCTGGTTGGCTTAACTCAAAGAATTGAGGAGCTGGAAGAGACCAACAAAAATCTTCAAAAGGCAGAGGAAGAACTTCAGGAACTAAGAGAGAAAATTGCCAAAGGGGAATGTGGCAACTCCAGCCTCATGGCAGAAGTGGAAAATCTGCGGAAGCGCGTGCTCGAAATGGAGGGTAAAGATGAGGAGATCACGAAAACGGAATCCCAGTGCCGGGAACTGAGGAAGAAGCTGCAGGAGGAAGAACACCATAGCCGGGAGCTCAAACTTGAAGTTGAGAAGTTACAGAAGAGAATGTCAGAACTGGAGAAACTGGAAGAAGCCTTTAGCAAGAGTAAATCTGAGTGCACCCAGCTGCATTTAAATCTGGAGAAAGAAAAGAACTTAACCAAGGACCTGCTCAATGAATTGGAGGTGGTCAAGAGTCGGGTTAAAGAACTGGAATGTTCCGAAAGTAGATTGGAAAAGGCTGAATTAAGCCTCAAAGATGATCTGACAAAGTTGAAGTCATTTACGGTGATGCTGGTTGATGAAAGGAAAAATATGATGGAAAAAATAAAGCAAGAAGAGAGAAAAGTAGATGGACTCAATAAAAACTTCAAGGTGGAACAAGGAAAGGTTATGGATGTCACTGAGAAACTAATAGAAGAAAGTAAGAAGCTTTTAAAACTGAAATCTGAAATGGAGGAAAAGGTGTACAATTTGACAAAAGAGAGAGACGAGTTAATAGGCAAACTGAAAAGTGAAGAAGAAAAATCCTCTGAATTAAGCTGCAGTGTTGACTTACTAAAGAAGAGACTTGATGGGATAGAGGAAGTGGAGAGAGAAATAACCAGAGGGAGGTCTCGAAAAGGACCTGAGCTCACCTGCCCAGAAGATAACAAAATTAAGGAACTTACCCTTGAAATTGAGAGGCTGAAGAAACGCCTGCAACAACTGGAGGTGGTCGAAGGGGATTTGATGAAGACAGAGGATGAGTATGACCAGCTGGAGCAGAAATTTAGAACTGAGCAGGATAAGGCGAACTTCCTCTCCCAACAGCTGGAGGAGATAAAACACCAGATTGCCAAGAATAAAGCAATAGAGAAAGGTGAGGCTGTGAGCCAGGAAGCGGAGCTGAGACACCGATTTCGGTTGGAAGAAGCTAAAAGTCGAGACTTAAAAGCCGAAGTGCAAGCCCTTAAGGAGAAGATTCATGAGTTAATGAACAAAGAAGATCAGCTTTCTCAGCTCCAAGTGGATTATTCTGTTCTCCAACAAAGATTCCTGGAAGAGGAAAATAAGAACAAAAACATGGGGCAGGAGGTCCTCAATCTGACCAAAGAGTTGGAGCTTTCGAAGCGTTACAGCCGAGCTCTCAGGCCCAGCGTGAACGGGAGGAGAATGGTGGATGTTCCCGTGACGTCCACCGGCGTCCAGACGGATGCCGTCAGCAGTGAGGCGGCGGAGGAGGAGACGCCGGCGGTGTTCATCCGGAAATCCTTCCAAGAAGAGAATCACATCATGAGTAATCTTCGGCAGGTGGGGCTGAAGAAGCCTATGGAACGATCCTCTGTTCTGGACCGGTATCCGCCAGCGGCCAACGAGCTCACCATGAGGAAGTCTTGGATTCCGTGGATGAGAAAAAGGGAAAACGGGCCCCCGATGACTCAAGAGAAAGGGCCTCGAACAAGCTCCAGTCCGGGGCACCCGGGAGAGCTGGTCCTTTCCCCGAAGCAGGGCCAGCCCCTGCACATCCGAGTGACCCCAGACCACGAGAACAGTACCGCGACTTTGGAGATAACCAGCCCGACGTCCGAAGAATTTTTTTCTAGTACCACCGTCATTCCTACCTTAGGGAATCAGAAACCAAGGATCACCATTATTCCATCACCAAATGTCATGTCTCAAAAGCAAAAAGGTGGCGATGGCCCTCTTGGCACAGAACGATCCATGTCCCCAGTCACAATTACTACCTTTTCCAGAGAGAAGACCCCAGAAAGTGGAAGAGGTGCGTTTGCGGACAGGCCCACCTCCCCGATCCAGATCATGACGGTGTCCACGTCCGCGGCACCAGCTGAGGTCGCCGTCTCTCCCGAATCCCAGGAAATGCCCGTGGGAAGGACTGTCTTCAAAGTCACCCCAGAAAAGCAGACTGTTCCAACTCCAGTCCGGAAATACAACTCCAATGCCAATATCATAACCACGGAAGACAATAAAATTCACATTCACTTGGGTTCTCAGTTTAAACGATCCCCGGGGACGTCGGCCGAAGGAGCAAGTCCGGTTATCACTGTCCGACCTGTCAGTGTGACGGCTGAGAAGGAGGTGTCCACTGGCACCGTCCTGCGCTCTCCCAGGAACCATCTCTCGTCGCGCCCTGGCGGGAGCAAAGTCACCAGCACCATCACCATCACACCTGTCACAACCTCATCCGCCCGAGGAACCCAGTCAGTGGTGAGTAGAGGAAGCTCCAGAGGTCAGCCAACCCAGGGGGGCACGAGTGAGCCGTCAGAGTAACCCAGCGCCCCAAATACAGCAAAGCCACACGCCTGTCGCCCCACCCGAACCCACTACCAGATGCTTCCTAGGGGACCATCTACACCAAGAAATGAGACTACAAAGTAGCCTAATATTTTATTAATTTGAGCTAATTTGGAGGGATAGTTTTGTTTCTTTCATGTAACTTATGGAGACACCAGAAATCCCCAAGATGGCCTCTTTGCAGTGTTAGCCTGTGGTACTAAAAACGTTTAAAATTTGACTTTTATGTTTAAAGTGCTTTTTAAAAAATGGAGCCTGGAGAGAAACAGTCAGTATGCAGGAAAAATTCAATGTGTTCCTGCGTTATGTTTCTATAACCTAAGATATTCAATATGTACTTCTGTCTGGTCATAGTCATACTTTACTCCAAAAGTAAGATTAAAAGATTTTTATATCAAAAACTTTTTTAAAAGTAAAAAAGAAGTGAATTTCTAGGTCTAAACACTATATGTCATTAATAATATCTTAACAGTATCATGCAGAGAGCAGGTGCTTGATAAATATTTATTTAATAACCAGCTGGAGGGCTAAATGAAGGATTTAAAAAGGCATATCTAGACTATAAAACCAGAGACAAAAATAAATTCTGTTTTTCAAAATAGTTCCAGTGGCTGTCTTCGTTTATTGGGGACGATTGGTAAATGACATAGAAGAATGTCTACTATTTAGATAATAATTTAAACTGGCAAAAATTGTGATTTCTAGTCCCTGAACAAATTCTTCTGCATATCTTGGAAGCTCTTAAGAAAGACAGGAAGCTTATTATTTAAGTATAGAAACTATGGCTCATTTTCCCACGTCTTCATGTAATTTACTTTAATTCTCCATGCACAAACATAGGCCCAAGACAGGCTTCCAAGTGTGAATTACTAATTGCTCTGCTGGCAAAGCTTTTTGTTACTGACTCTACAGGAGCCAAATAGCATTCAGAACTGCTCACCCTTCTCAAATGGTTCAATCCTGCTTTTTAAGGAACACAGTGCATAGCTTGGATTTTTATAAAAGAAGTGGAGGTGTAACTGTTGTAATTTAGAGCTGATTTTCTGCTGAAACATCTTCCCATTTTTTAAAGGTCAGAACAGGATAGCCTTACCTTCTGTAGCAACATGTTGGGTGACTGATTAAAGCCCATACCCAAATAGGATTTCAAAATAACTGTGTAAGATTTCTAAGGCCTAAGCAATGGCCCACTTACTTCAGGTATACCAGATCCCATAAAGCAAGGACAACAAAAATTTTGGGACACGCATCTCAGAAAATGAATAGTGTGGCTAGTTTGTGTGTGCATTTATTCAACATTTATTGAGTGTTGGCTACACTTTAAGCATGGGGTTAGGTGCTGACTGTAAAGAGGACCTGTAGAAGTTCCTGGTCCAGTGGGAGAGGCAGGATTGGAACCTGCCTAGTGGTCCTATGGAAGCAGTAGATAGAAAGAAAGTACTGGAGAAAGCTTCCCACGGGGAAGAGGTTTTCACAGATAGGGAGAGATTTTTGAGAAGGAAAGGGGAAGGAGTGTGGAGAGGACAGTGTGTGCACAGGCATGGCACTGTGGAGGGGCTGGCATGTTGGGGAACGGTGAGCAGTCCCTTTGTGCTGCAGCAGATGGGCGTGGCGACGAAAGGCAGGAACAGAAAAGGAGAAGCACCCTGGGTTGGATACTGAAGAGGTGTCAGTCTTACGAAATTGGCATTTAATGTTGGGGAATAGACAATGGGAGCCATCAAGAGGGAAATGATTTAAAAAATTCTATTACTTATGTTCTAGATAGGTCGATAAAACAAAAGGATAACTGGAGGAAACAGGTTGAGGACAGGGATATTGTTAGAATTCTCTAGGTTAGAGATGGTATAGCCTTGAATTGTGGTCGTGAAATTGGAGGACAGAGATGTACTGAAGACAGAATCAAAGGTTTCATAACAAATTCAGTATAGGGGGTGGCTCTGAGGTTTCTGGCTTGGCTGTGAGGGTGGATAAAATGAGAAACCCAGGGGGCCTGCTGTCTGGAGAAGACAATAAGTAATGTTTGGGGCATGTTACATTTGAGAAGCCTGAGGGACACTGGCAATGCCTAGCAAGTGGTTGGAAATATTGGATCTGCATTTAAGGAGAGCACTGAGGGCTCAATGTCCCAGGACTCATCAACACGTAGGGTGATAACGGAGGCGATGCTCAGGGTGGGTGTGCAGAATTGAAAGGCGGCTGACGATGGAGCATGATGACACCCACATTTAGAAGGCAGGCCAGGTAGAACCAGGTGCCACCACGAGGTGAAAAGGAGTAATCAGAGACCGAGGGGAATGGATGAGACCCAAGGGAGAAATCACAGCAAGAGTTTTAGGAGCACTTAAAGAAGGAGGGTGTGGTCTCAGCAGTGACAATAAGAAATGAGAAGGGGGGAGGGTATAACTCAAGTGGCAGAGCACATGCTCAGCATGCACAAGGCCCTGGGTTCAATCCCCAGTATCTCCCCTAAAAACAAAAACAAAAACCCAAAACAAACAAACAAAAAACTCTAATAATAATAAATAGACCTAATGACCCCCCCCCTTCAAAAAACAAAACAAAACAAAACAAAAAAAATGAGAAGAAAAACAAAAGCAAAAAAATGAGAAAAACTGGCTGCTTCTAAAGAAAGTGGAAGTCATTTGGGGGACAGGAGGAGTGAAGATGGCTGAGTTTGCGCCAGGAGGCCCGTATTTTCTCTGTGAAATAGGACCGAGGGTCGTCCTCAGGACGGGTGAGGAGGTGGGTTCAGGGCTTGGGAAGGAAAGGAAGTTTGGTAGAGATATTTCGGGAGAGGGAAAGGGAGGCAGTCAGAGTGGGCTAGACACCACCTCCAACTTTCTCACCATCATTTTACCCGGGGAGGGGGTGATCCGGGGGTGGTCCGGTGGCGAGAGCCCTGCTTACGTTCAGATCCACGGCATTTCCAGGGGGAAACTCACCCGCGTCGCCCTCGTGTTTCTGTATTTTCTCTCTTACAGTCAGGACAAGACGGGTCATCCCAGCGGCCTACACCCACCCGCATTCCTATGTCAAAAGGTATGAAAGCAGGAAAGCCAGTAGTGGCAGCCCCAGGAGCAGGAAATCTGACCAAATTCGAGCCTCGAGCTGAGACTCAGTCTATGAAAATAGAGCTGAAGAAGTCTGCAGCCGCCAGCACCGCCTCTCCCGGAGGGGGGAAGGGCTGAGGGCAGCGGCTGGGGGTATGTTGTGCAGACGCTGCTGCTGCCGTGAGAACCGACCGGCGTCCGTTTGTGCCAGCTCTTTCCGTGTACTAATTTAAGTTTTTAATTTCTTGTTCATAAAATAATCAACTAATAGCCCCGTGTCTTTCCTATTTTGTGAATGTGTTTTGATGCTGGGGAAGAGGACTAACCGGCAATACTGCTGCGTGCGGTGTGCTTTGGGGAGGAGGCGGGGCCTGACTTCCAGACCCGGGTTTGCTTCTAGGAAGTGGCCCCATCAGTCAACCCTGTAAGACATGGGGGCTGGGTCACATCCTCTCCAAAGCCGACTCCATATTTCCTAATTATAAATCAAATTTAATAGGCCTTGTTTCCCCAATGATTGAATTTTCAAAAACCCTTTTATGAAATAGGAAATAGTTTGACAAGTGTCATTTGCCTCTGTCCAATTCCAAACTTGCTTCATGTGATGGAAAAAAACAAAAAACAAAAAACCCCCAAAAAACCGAAAACCAAAACCACCTAGTTATCACAGGGCCTGGGCCTCTAAAGTTTTGAGGAAAAAAAAAAAAAGCCTCTGAGATAATTTCAGGAAGCAATTTGAATGTGAAATAAAATGGAAATGAAATACAGACTCCTAAAAACAGAGTTTTACTTATTTGTGTGCCTGTGTGTATTACAAAGATTTTGGAATTTCAGAACCATCATTGTTAGACTCATGCTCTATTCAAGGGTGCTATTAATGTAAATTGTGGAGCTGTTTGAATAGAGCTGCCAAACGGCCCTTTATAGCTCAACAGAGGTTGTAATGGATTAAAAAAAAAAAAAGCAGAAAGTAAATTTTGATACATTGTTGCCAAGAAATAAAATGACATCATGCATAGCTTAATGGAATTGAAACATTTTCACAGTTAAGTGTGGAGTTTATGCCCAAGTATAGAACCAGTTCATGATTGTGTGTGTGCACATGTGCATGTGTGGTGAAGTGTATTATGATGACTTGTGTTTGTATCTTTGTCATTAATTTTAAGCATGTTTTAATAAGCATGAACAGTATGTGGATACAAAATACCAGGTATCTGTGAGAAAATTAACCATGTTAAAGTGGATGCGATGCTTCGTAGTCAAATAACCACCAATGAGCTCAAGGCTAGCAATCCCTGGCTTAGCATCTGAGGTCTAGGGTAGGCAGCACCTTTGTCAAAATCTTTGAGCCAATGGAGTGAACTTTACAACAACACAATAGGTGCAAAGTTACAGTTTGGTATTTTCCACTTCTGAATTGTGAGGTTCCAAAACCCCTCACAATTAGTCCCTGCTCTTGATAGTTGGGAAAAGGTAATATTTTTTCAAAAAGATGCACAATTGGTTTTTAGTCCAGGAAACATCCTGCTTCGTAGTAAAGAGGCTGTCCTCTGAGCTGTTTCCACCCTGGACTTCCTGTCCCTTGCAGAACCTGGGCTTGAATTGTGTGTGATGGAGGTGGACACCTCCCAGTGTTCACGTTCACTTCATCAGAGCACGGTTGCCTACAGCTTATCAATTGTCAGCAGCTGTATTTAAAAACGCTGAGCAATCACGGTAGACGCGCCTTAATAATTAAAATTTCAAGGTAGAAGGAGAGGGAGACTTAAAAAAAAAAAGACTTTCTGAACTATAATTTTGAACGAGTTTAAACAAGAGATCTTGCCATTTTGAATACTGGCTTATGTTCCTTTAAAAGGGAATTTTCCCCTTTTGTAAAGTGGGCATCATCTCTTTGGAAAACAGACTCCCAACTGTGTTTCAAACGCCTCCCTGGCATCCAGGGTATTTAATGTTATTGTACCATGATGCCCGGGCTTTGAGTAAACGAAGGTGTCAAATGCACAAAACGCTGCATTCCTTTTGACTCTCCCTGCCCTTCTTCAGTGACTTTTATCCTAATCTACTGTCACTGCTGTTGTTTTTGCTGTTTTTACCTGCTCACACCATGCTTCCACCGGTTCTGCCTGGAAGTCCATACCATCCTCAGGGAGAGTGCTGCAGAAGGCTTAACAGTGCGTGTGCAGGATGTTGCTACATCTGGATCTTGGAATGCAGCCACCTGCAAAGCACAACTGCTAAGAAAACTTGGCAGCCCAACCCATATTCACTTTTCAGAAATGATAAAGAGCAGCCGCTGTGGCAGTTTTTCTTTGTAATTTTAGAACCAACTCTACGTTTATTGGATAGCCTTGTTTTAAACTACATATTAGAAAGGAAATCCACTGGGGACAGGAGGTGGAGAATTCAATGCACTCCAACTCCGGCTTCTATTTGTGAGTATAATGTGCTTAAGATGCAGTTTAATGTGCTTTTAAGAGAGTGAATGGGATTAAAAAGTTAGAGTCTTATCCCATCCGGGAACATAGTATCGTGTAAATAACGGGTCTCACCAGGACTGCTGTGTATAGATGCTGGCAGGTCCCGCCCTGGGGAAGGCAGGGGTGCCATTTCCACAGATTTCAGTGTGACGGCGCCCCCTGGGGACTTGCAGGGAGCAATCCACACAGCTACCCTCCTGAGAATCTTTTTTGTGTGTTGGCTGTTTCTGCAGACTACCATGGTGGCCATGCAGCACGCGTGGTACCAGAATTGTTCCAAGACAGGGCACAGCCCAAAGGGTATTTATCATTCCCTGAAAATGACTTTCCTGCCTGGGTTACCTGCTTAAACAGAGTCATTGAGTTTCTACGGGCATCTTTATTATATTTTCAGTGAGGACAGATTAGTGGGTGGCAGTTGGGCTGTGCAGGGATTTCAGTGTATTCATTAAGGGTAGGGTGTTACCAGATTGCTTACCTGAATGTCTTTAAGAAAGAAGTGAAGAAACGTCTTTGATGCGCAGTGGGCAAAGAGTATAATTTCAGGGAAATGAAAACATGTCCAAGAATGTAAGATGTACAAAGATTTGAATTTCTCATTCCTTCATAGATTTGGAATATTGGGGAAAGAGTGAGACTTTCCTGATTGGGAAAAACCCAGCGCTATTAGATTAGAAGAGCACGTTTAAGTGGGAGGCAGGGGCAGAGAGAGAGAGGAAGAGGTAACAAGATGAGCCCAGAGAGGGTTTCCCAGTAAACAGCAATGTTTTATTCCCAAACTTCCTCCACCCAGACGATAGTGTTTTCCTCCTACTTCCTCCTCCAGGGTCTCATCACTGGTTACCTCCTCATCGTCGGCTCTCTCAACTTCTCCTTTTCACCTGTTACCTCCACATAGGAGATCGCTAAGCTCCAGCCTCTCCCATTTTAGCACAATTCCTCCTTGAGCTGTGCCATCCTCTGTAGCTATTGCCCTGTCTCCCTCCTGCCCAGCGAAGCCATTGACTGAACACTCTACCTTTTCTGCCTCCACTTCCACACTTTCCATTTATCTCTAATTACTTTTTATTTTTGTTCAAGTAATTCGTATGCATAGTTAAAATATCAGCCAGTGCTGAAAGACAATGAAAACAGCTGTTGCTTACCTCACCCCTACTCTTCCAAACTCACTTCTGCTCCCTGGAGAACATCCTTTCTCACTCTTAGCTGTTTCTTCTGGTGTTTATCTCCATATTTTTAAATAATGTGCTTGTACTCTGACTTTTCATTTATACATTTTAGATATCTTTTTTCTTCCCATTATTATTTTGACGTTTGAGGGTTTAGTCCTCTTACACGTCCCCTCTCTTCCCTTTTCCCCCATCCTCACAATATGATTACGTCACCTATTCTTCAGTAAATCAGCAGTCAGCATATGCATGTTTATATATTCATGTTTACAATGTAAATTTAAATATTGTTCTCTGCTGAGCCAAGTAGTGTACTATGATTATGTTTTCTTCCTCTTACCCCTTTTCTCCCTTTGAAAGGATAATTGCTTTAATTTTTCATCTGCTTGATTTTCTATATGTTTATCTATATTTTTTTCCCAAATGCTCCAACAGATCAACCAAATATCTACCAGTAATTTTTCTGGACACTGAAGCACATGAGTTTCATATTTTGCCCTGAGGGCCCTGCTAGTTCAGTCCTCTGCTTCCTTACTTAGTCTGGAAAGCTTGTCCTCTCTGCCTGCTGTGCAGCTGCTGTCCTGCTGTGCTTTTGCCTGCGTTGAATCCTCTGTTTCCTGGATTTCTAATCTATTTCTTTTGCTTATCTATCTATCTATCTTTTGAAATACATCTTCCAGTAGTTTCTACAGAGAAGAATCCTCCATCAACCTCCCTGGGGTGAGCTACCTGCATTCTGGAAATAGATCAGGGAGGTGAGGTGGAGAATCTCACAGTTTGGTGTGTAAATTTTTCATTCCCTTGCGTTCAGTCCATTCTTGTACCTAAGGCCAGAATTTCTTATGTGAGGTTTTTTTCCCCCCCGCCAGAAATAAACCCCTGATCTCTGGAAGGGTAAAAGTAGAGTGAGGTTATTCTCTTCTTCCTCTGTGACTAAGACATCTAATCTCCTTTGGGTTTCCTTTGATTTCTCTGACTGTCCCACCTCAGTCTCTCTTGCTGGCCCCTTGTTTCATGCATACATAAGGGTTGTTCCCCTGGTCTCTGTCAAAAGCCATTTGCCTACCCTACGTGCTCATTGTGATTATTATTATTTAAAAAAAAAACTCTTTTGGGGGAGGTAATTAGGTTTACTTAATTTTTGTTAGAGGAGGTACTGGGGATTGAACCCAGGACCTTGTATATGCTGAGCATGCGCTCTACCACTTGAGCCATACCCTCCCTACCCCATTGTGATTATTTTATTCATTCCCATGGCTTCAGTTATCACCCATACACTGATGACTACCAAACCTCTCTCCTACCATGTGCTCAAGTTTGTGCTGTACCTCTCCAACTCAACTTGCCTGAAAGCCATTCTCAACCCTCCCTCCATCATTCTTCCAAGTCTTCTCCTCCTCCTGTTATTCTGCACCTCAGCAGGGGTGTCCTGAGCTACCCAGTCACTCAAGAGAAACCTGGGAGCCATTTTTAGCCCCTCCTCCTGTTGCCCATCCAGTAGGCTCATTCAGCAAGTCTCTCATATTCACACCCCTAACACCTGTAGAAGCTGTGCCCACATCTCCATTTCCCCCATCACTGCCTGAGTTGACTTTGTAATTACGTCTCACCTGGATTACGCTGATGCTCTCCCAAGTGATCTCATAATCTCCAGCCTCCAAACTTCCTGACTCATTTTTCATTTTGTTTTCCAAAGTGCAGCCTGGTCTTCTGACTCCTCTACCTGAAAATCTTTCAAGGTTCTTCTTTATCTACAGAATGCAAGGCCAGCTCCTTGGTGTGGTGCTCGAGGCTCTGTGGCCTGGCTCCCTAACCTCCCCATTCTTCTGGGCACCTCCCTTTCCCTCATCTGGACCCCCCTCCTCCCCGCCCTCTTCAGCCCCAGGCCCACAGAACGACTCACAGCAGCCAGGCCACCTTTCCCTGACTTGCTCAACTTGTTCCTTGTCCCTGGACTGCCCTTCTCCTTTTCCTTTGGGCAGTTGTGTCCTTCTCTGTTCAAAAGCTCTTTTAAAATCATTGCCTCCATGGGAGAGACCAACCATGATTTCAGACTCGAACCTGGGGTTTAAAGCCTGTCATTTTATTTTTACATTTTTACAGTAAGGGCTGTAAAAAACGTGGCACTTACTGTACAGAAAGAAAACCGTCAGTTGGAGGATGGCTGGGAGTTGGGGAAGAAAGAGGTGCTCTTGCTCCCTCCTTTAGTCTGCATTGCAAACCTGTGAAAGTGATGTAGAGGGTCCTGACAGATCGTGTGTAGGAACACGGAGGGAGAGATAGGGTAGAATTCGGGGAAATCCAGGCACTGCCATTCTGGATGGGGTTAGTTACTTCCGTTTCTCCCCAAAGGCACCCTGGCAGGTAATGGATGCAAAACAACCGGGTGTCCTGGGTTAGGGAGTTCGTGCTCTTGAAGCTATCAAAAATGTGTGGAGAACTCAGGGGGCCTGAGATCTTTCTGTGAAGGAACACCTTTGAATGAATTGCAAATGGGTCTTTGCTCCTCCTCTCTGACTCCCCCTAGAGGAGCATGAACGACACTTCAGGAAAGAAAACGTTTCAGGTGATTTGTGAAGGAGCCTCTAAAATAGATCAGACAGGCTCTCATTTTAAAGGACCAACAACACCACCCATAAGCAGGATGAAGAAGGAGGATAGATATGAAGGGAAACATCCAGAGAAAGTGAATTGCTGAACGATGGACTAGAGACCCAAGGTAGGGCGAGTCCAGGAGACAGAGGAAGGCACGTACCCTTTGACTAGTCACCTTGCCTTGGCTTCTGGCCTGGCAGAATCTTTCATGATCCTGGCGTTCCTCACTTTACTCATAATAGGATATGCTTCATTCTTTTTTACTAGGCAACTTAAAAGATTATGCCATAACGCTTTCACTGAGAACCAATGATTAATTGCTTACCTGGTAAAAGTAGTTTTGGCCTCTCTACTCATGCTAATATTATGTCCGTGTGATGGACAGAATTGCAAGGTCAAGGGCTGTTCAGAGATGATCCAGACTGTAGAGGTTAAGAACATGATTATCTTTATTATTAAACAGGAAAACCAAAACCAAAACAAAACAAGAAAACCCTCAAGGCGTAGTGATGTCTAACTATCTTGTTAATCATGAAGCCAGTTCTTCAGTTTCTCCCAGTACATGATTCATGATTTCATACGATGAAATGACTTCAAGTGAGCAAAATGTATATTTATACATAGACTAAAATAGCCACTCATTGGGCCAAAGTAATATTGTCAAAGGATTTGAGATATTAAGATAACTACACAGAAAGTATGTGTGTCCAAGTTTTCATAACAGTACTTTGATGAATATCATTGTCCTTATCTACAAAGCACAATGTCCTTCTCAATTTTCACACATAATGTTGTTTTCCTTGTTATTCTGTGATCAGTCATCAACCTAAATTGAACTCAGCATCCAGCGTTAGCATCTGTGTCCAAAGAGTAGAACCTGACCATGCTTGGTTCAAGTATTTACCTATGTTTCCACCATTTAGTTTTTTTTTTAATTTATGATTAATGTTATATGTGGGAGAACTAGTTCCAATTTGCTTGAAACTGGGGATCAGTAATCTGACAGAGAGATAAGGATTAACTTGCCTGAAAAAAGAAGTTACCAGTCGTAACTGTGATGACTGGTAGCTTCTGCAACCTGGGGAGGTGAGGGTAGAATTTGGACCAATGATGGACTGGGAAATGTTTTGGAAGGAAGCAAATTATTAGGTGGTTGAGAAGCCTCGAGAGACTTTATATCATCTGATCCAAAAGTGTCCTGAAACAAATGACGGAACTGATTAGCGGAAGTGTTTTTTAATTAGCTGAGCTAAATCCAAAAGAAGGACTACAAGTCCAAGTCAACAGAGGAAGTTTATTGGACTTCCTATTTAAAACAGATGTTTTATCGGAGCTCTGATTAATGTCTGAATGTGATAATAATGTGACTGAATGCCGAAGCAGTTTATTAAAATGAACCTTAATAGTAAACAACATCTAGGCACCCCTACTTCTAAAAGGTGTAGAGAACATAGGACATTTTTGCAGGAGGATAAATCACCTTGCAGCGGGCAAGTTCAAAGCTGGGGTTTGGTAGCTGGTGGAGGAAGAACAGCTCTGTCTTAAGCTGGTGCCTTGCTCTCCAGGCAGAGCTCCTGGCAGGTGAAGCCACAGATCAGGGGAAGCGGGCCATACGCCAGCCAAATTGATGCAGAATCCAACAGGAAATGTTTTCTGTAACTTGTGCAGTTTCCTGTGGGTGAAACAGCCCTCCTTTGCTGATGCAAAGTCCTGCTACAAATTGAACTTCTGCTCTGTTTTGTCTTTAGTGTGTGAACTTGGATGCAGTCTATGAAAGTGATGTGATCTCCTTGACTAAAGTCGGTTTTTAAAATTCAGAGGTCAAGTGTTCCCTTGAGAGCTTGGCAGAGAATAAATGTAACTTCGCAGGGAGTACATCTATCTTGCTCCACAGCCAAGGCACTGTCCCAGGAGGAGTCAGAATGCCGATGTGTTGCCAGGTTGCCCCACTCAGCACGCCAGAGACATTCTCCCCAGACTTCTCCCCACATCCTGTCTTGTGTATACAAATTTGGATCTCAAGTCATCTGGGTGGCCATTGGTTTGGGGATACCACCCAAGGAGGAGAAATAATTCATCCTTGTAAGATCAGAAGTCAAGTGTAATTAGGAATTGTTCATTTGTTAAACTTCCTTTCCATGGGAGTTAGCTAACGGTTACCGCAATGAAAGAATGAGTTTATAAGCTACATCATTTCACCGTAATATCGTAAAACAAATCATGTATTTAATGTGTTACCTGAAGTTTCTTAAGAAAAAAAACTCAAGATAATGCTTCAGAGAAACATATGGAAGAAAATGTCTATAAGTGTTTTGATAAACTGTTAATATAAAAATATGTATAAAAATCTAATGTCCTCATGTCCTCATGTGGATTCAGATTTAGAGTTTTTCCTTTTTCCAATTAGAAAAATGGAAATTTTTATTAAATGTCTACACATTAGAAGGCTCCAAATTTAAGTGCTTTGTTATCTTGAGTTTGCTGGTATAGGTAGTAATTAACTGTGGCCTTTGTTCTCAATCTGCCTATTATATATTCTACAGATTACCAATGTCACAAAAGTGGTATCTGTAAGATGAGAAAAATTACTATAGAATTGTACCTGATTTTACTTAGGTCACTTTAGAGTCCCCAAATGACCTACATTTGGGTTTTATTCTGAGATGACATGAAGACAGAGTTGAACATGGAATAAGATTTGCTCACTGACTTTTTAATTTCAATAAAATGTATGATATTTTTATTGTACTAAATCATAAAAATAAATAGGAATCAACTTAGAAATTCTGTCTTTAAACACACACACAAATAACTGTATTAATCCTCAAAGGTTTTTTGGGTTTTTTGCTGGCAACTATGTTCTCCTTATGCATCAGATAGTTTTGCTGTGTCATAAGTAACCTCAAAATTTAATGGCTTAGAACAGAATTTTTTATTTCTCATAATTTTGTGTATTGGCTGGGTGATTCCTATCTAAATCAGTTTACAGATTTGGGGAAAACATAGATAATAAACAAACATAGATATAATTAGTATACTTAATTAGTTTCAAATAATAGAGATACTATTATTTAGATCTTATTGCCCTATCTCTAGAAACAAGATGAAATATGCCTCCATGTATATAAAATAAAGTAAGTTGGGCTTAATTTTATTTCTTTAAATAAATTTTATGTATGTAAATATTAAATGCCATCTTTTATTATTTAAGTCGAATTAAATAAAATAAACTATTATTTAGCATTGTCAAGTATTTTTGAGATAGTCTTTTAAATATCATAATCTGATTAATAGCATTTATATATATACATCATGCATGGATTACCTGTTTGCTAATTTAAAAATAATAATAAAATGTAATGGTCCAATCAAGACACTGTTTCTATGTATGGACCCTTCTGCCATATATATTTTCACCAAATACTAATTCTGAAAAGCTGTTATCAATATGGAGATAACATGCTATCTATAATATAATAGATATATTATATTTATAATACTATAAAATGCTAGTATTAGGAGAAGGCAACTTTAGGAACTTAGGGGTTTGCACACTCAAGGCGAGAGAAAAAATTATTGTAGTCAAACAAAATGTTAGCCCTGTCAGGAACTTGTGAGATAATCTCTATACCCTCATTTTGTAGTGAGGAAACAAAGGTACATGCATTCTGGACTATATGTACAATAAAGACAATTCTAGATTTCACTTCTTTAAACGTATGTTTTCTGTGCTCTCTTAAGGGAGGAAAATGGGGGAGATACTTTAATTCTATTAGGGAGGTTGGAAACCTATGCCTTTTCACTCTTGAAACCTACTAGAGAAATTTTAAAAAAGAAAAAGGGCTGAGTGAGAAATAGCACTTTAATCCTAGACTCTGATTTTTAACTACATAATATTTTAATTAGTGCTTTTAGTTTTTGCCCGAAGATTTTGATATAGTTTTAGGCATGGAAAAAATCTGAAGCTAGAATAAATTTCCAATGAAAAAAATGAAATAATGGTTTTTATGGATTTCTGGTACAGTGAAAATCATATGTACGCTTTAAAAGCTTTACAAAACCTTCATAGCTAGTTATTATTAAGTATATAAAACACTTACACATTTCATTTTACTTTGCTTTCCTGTCTGTTTTATCCCAAATTCAGTGTAGGAAGGTAGAGGGAAAGAGCGGAAATAACTCCACCTAGTGGTCAGTGTGAAGTGAAGTGAATGAAACCAATTTAATAAAACTTTCTTTTTGACAGAGGACCATCCATCCACCGTACATAATTAGTACGAACCTATAGATCTATGACATAACGTGCTTTAATTAATGTTTATGTAGATATTAATTATCCAAGTGAAAATAAAATGTAAATAGTGCGTATTTGAAACTAAAGGGAAAATAATAAGTGGAAATTTCCTCACGCTATTGATAAACCCTGGTATTAGTTGACAGGGAAGTAATACATTTTTCAGGTGGTACAACCATTGGAGGCTTAGGTTTTTCTTTCCTCTGCTCTTTATAATCTCAGCAAAGGCAAGACTCTGTTTCGTTTTGCTCACCAATGTAATATCACGCCCAGCACACTGATGGGCATGTTGCAGGGCCTCAGTGACAGAACGAAGAGAAAATGATGGTACGTGTTCGTGAAGGCATGAAGGTTAAGATAAAAGTGAAATCAGTCCGATAACTATAATGATTACACAGCCACTGTGGCTGGTACTGTTCTATTTACTATCTCGATTTTTTTTTTAAAGGAGGTACTGGGGATTGAACCCAGGACCTTGTGCCTGCTAAGCACGTGCTCTACCACTGAGCAATACCCACCCACCTCGATCTATTTTTTATTTACTTTTATGAAAATGAATTTAGATCTAAAAGCATGTGCAGAGTTATGCAATAAGGAGCAGTCAGAGACAACAATGAGTCATCTCTGTTTAGTGACTTTTTAAGAATAATACACATTCCTAATAAAAACACAAATCCACACACATGAAAAAATAACAGAATGTGAATGTTGGTCAGAGCAGAAGCAGTATGGCTGAGAGAAAAGAGCTACTTCTAGGAAATAATCTGGTTTCCCACCGTGGACCTCGTACATAGTAATTACCGTCTTTGTGTTCAGTGCTTTGCTTGGATACAATCAATCAAGTATTGTTAGAACATTTGACCTGGTTTATAACAGGCTTTAAGAATTTGGGAGGTAAAACTCCAATGCCGATGTAAAGAAGTCACCCAAGAACAGAAGGAGCAGCAGGAGAAGCTATTGGGCTCATGCACCTGTTTTTGTTTGTTTGTTTCGTTCTGTAACATCTGTGGTCTTTTAGTGGATTGGTATGGTAATGATCCTCACCTAAAATACTGATCTGAGTTGCAGTTTGATTGAAAATGCCATCTCTTTCTTCTCTTTATAGAAAGCATCATCATCCACCAGTTACGTATGAACTCCAGATGAAATGGTAAACCAAGCACATACTGGGTGTGTGTACTTCCTCTGCATCCCTGTTGAATGGATAGTATTTCTACAGCTCTCCATCATCATTAAGGTCCTCCATGCTACTGATCGCTACTGGAAATAATTTTCTACTTCCAGTGAATTTTTTTTTGAGGATATAAATGGAAAAACTGAAAACGGTGTTGCTGATAATATAAAAATAGTTGGCAAGAGCAGTTCAATCTTGGCGTCAAAAGGAACTTCTCCTCCTTTTGCAAAGCTTTCAGGTCCATGGGCACATGCTATGTAATTTATTTTTATAATACACTTTGTAATGTGATTTGTTTTTCCTAAAGTGTTTCCTTTTTCATAGTCTATGGCACATATATCTGTAGAATACATTGTCAGTTCTTCAAATGCATTGCTATTAGGGTATTCAAAAAGGTGACCTATACTTACTTTTATCAATTTGTTGTTTCTGGAAAAAAAAAAAGTGAAACACTCTATATATTTCCTGGGGCAAATTCAAGAAGTAAAACCAAAGCAGGAGATTCTGGGAGAGGTATTACTATTACTTGCACGATGCTGTGGTTCTGATTATGGTTCAACACTAACAAGTAACACTCTGATTAAAGAGTTTAAATTTAAAGACTTAAGCCAGTTTTTAAAGTTGCTCTTTCTGGCATTCTGTGCCAAAATCTCTGGATGAATTGCTTTTCATATGGAACAAGTTGGTAGGAGGGGCGGTATGAGTTGAACCAGTTAAGTGTTATTGGATCAGCTTCTACTGACAGGTCAATTATCTTTCTGTTTGCATTATTTGCTTATATGCACAGGACTTATAATAAGAACTGTGATTTCAGGATATTTCTCACAATCTAATCCAAATGAAAGCCTGAAAATAAAAACCAACCTAGATAGTATCAGCATCTTTTAAAAAATTGGTAAAGGAAATCCCTAGATAACATTTTTTTCTTGGTAGGATTTGGACAGGTTTTCATAACCACATACAGGTTAGAAAATATATTCTTTAAAAATTCAAAGCCACAACATACGTTACTCAAATCTCAGTGTCAGACCTGCTGTTGAATTTTGGTTTCTGTGAAAATTTGCATTTAAATCTACTTGGAATCCTAAGAGTACAGGTTTTTTTTTTTTAAAGACTTTGTTAATGTGGACATGTTTTCAATAAGGTCTTTAAAAAGATCATTTTAAAGATCAGTGAAGAGTTGATACATCAATTTCTAGATGCAGAAATCACGTATCCTGTCACTTTCCTGAGAGTGAAGAAAGAATGCTTCTGAGGGTCACGCAGATAACTAGAAAGCACACGAGTAACACTGTTGGCCCATTTCTCAGTCCACAAGTTGTACCCGGGTTCATAAGGCCATAGAGAGGGGTCTGCACTGAATCTCAGGAACAGAAAAATTAGTGTTGGATTTCCTTCCCTCTGTATCTTTGGAAGGTTTTAAGTATACCTCGTGGAATTGGCAAATCATATTCAGCAGGTATTATAAGTTAAACAACTATATTTTATGTAAAATTAGCTTTGATTTTTGTGAGGAAACGAAATGCTACAGTAGGCTTGTCTCAGCATGAATGATTGTGAATGCATCACAGAACCTGCAGGGCTTTCGTTACTGATTAAGAAAACTAGAGTGTGTCTGTGTGAAGATTTAAAAATTTGTTCTGATGGGTTTTGATTTCTGAAAGTGCGTCTGAACTGTAATGACAGTTTCAATTAGGAAAGGGTTTAGTCTTGTTACATTTATTGACTCACAGTTAAGTCCCCTATTTGCCACTGCTTACATGTCTGATGGCAAAAATATTCTGATCTATCACAAGCAAATAACTTTCTCAACGTGTGGGAACTTTATTACACTAATAGTGAAAAGGTTAGAGGGTAAGATTATTTAAATAATTCCTGGTTATAATTTAAAACGTTACAAGTAATTTATGTATATTTGGATCTAAAGTTTTTATTTCCCCTGAGTTTGTAATGAAATTCGGTACTTGCAGTGCAGAGTGAGGATGATGGTGCAATCAAAGTCACTTAGATGGATGGTGCCTTTTTCTGCCCATGCTATGCTTAAGTCCTCTGTTTAAACTCACGTGGAATCTGAGTGACAGATGTGTAAAATGAATCTAAATTAATTTAAAAAACTAATGGTCCTGAAATAAATAATAGAGTATTAAAAATAAAACAACCAGATTGTAAACAGTCATATTCCAATACCAACATCCAATTGAAACAATTGCCCCCATGTGCAATCCTGGCACCATCTTAGGCTCACATAATTTCTACATCTTTTATTGTAAATAAATTTCCAATCATCAGTATGAATGAGAATCAGTTTTGAATGGAGTAATTATGTTTTCTGAAACATAGTCATAATTAGTGTTTCCAGCTTAAGGCACAATTGAATTAATCCATTATTCAGCCCTTTTCTTTTTGATGAGAGAGTGGTTTTTGAGGGAATATGCTGCAAACATGTTTTTTCAAGTATTTCATAAAATATTAGGGTTTGATGAAGATAGTGGTAGAATAAATATTCCAGATATTAGATGCCTGGAATGTTCACGAAATATGAAGAATTAATTGTATCTTAGGACAACCACTTAAAAAAATTCATGGTGCGGAAAAGCTAGCTTAAACACACGCAGACACACGAAATTATTCACAGCTTCTAAAAATCAGTGATGAAGCAAAAGTAAATGGTGTATCAGACAATGTAATATGGTTTGTGTCTTTTCTTTTGATACTGTGGTTGAATTTTCCTGGAAATAAAAAGAATAGCAAAAGTAGGGTGTGGTCATGAATCTGATGAGCAACAATTCTAAAAAGTAACAAAAATGCGAAATGGAAGTTTTAGAAAAACACATCTGGCACCCGAGGCATATATCCCCCTCCAGACTCCAGTGCTGTGCCTCTGCTAAAAATATGAATTAGAGGGCAAAGAGGAAAAACAATAAAAATTGTTGTGATAAATTCATAAACATCGGGAGAGTTTTGTGGAATTCATTTTGCTTAGTGGCTATTAAAGTTTTACTTTCTAAAGTTTTTAGTGTTTACTCCATAACTAGATGATGAAAACTGTGTTTGTTACCTAGGAAAAATACCATAGATTCATAAATTTGGACAGAAGTGTTTAAAGGTGCCATGACATGATACATTGATTTTCTGGTGTTGTTTTCTTTTTGTTTATGTTATTTGGGTAATTTTACCTCACCATTCACAGATTTTGTTATTTTAACAGTTTAGATTTGTATTTATTTAGATTTTGCTTTAAAAATATCAGATGTTAGTTTCTCCAATGTAAGAGGCTTATAATGTGATCAGATATTCTTTGAAGTCTTGCAGGTTTAATGGATTTTCAAAAGCAAAAGATTGCATTGAGAAATTCTGGAGCTACGTTCTATTTTCACAGCAGTCTCAATTTTGTCTCTTTTAAGTTTTATTAAATCCATGAGAAGTTTATCATTTTTCACTACAGCCGAGTGAATTTATGGATATGTACTTGTCTTTTATATGAATGTAATATCCAACTTTCAGTTCTTCACGGGCTATTGAAATTATTTAACCCATTAAGATATTCTCTGTGTTATCTCCCAAGTCAACCGTGTTTATCAAAATCTCACCAGAGTGAGAAAAACAATTGTGATATGAAAGCATTGTGCAATATTCTTTTTTGAGTTGGAACATAATATCCATCACATTAAAATCATTTAAAATGAGTATTCGACCTTTTTTTTCTTAAAATTGTTTACTTCAAAATATTTTTCACTTCTGCATTTTGTATTTTCTTGAAAATATGGTGCTTCTCACAGTGCATAAGCAGAAGCAGTCCAGCAGATCTGCCAAAATGAGAGATGCTCTTCCTCTGAGTTACATCTCAGTTTGATTCCTTAGTGAGATGAAGACTGCAAGACACCAAGAGATGGAACTGGTTACAGGGGCCCCTCTCCCTCTGAGCCGCACCAAGTGCATCATCGACCAACATTCAGATATTTTCTACTGTGTTCCGCCGTCAATCTTAAGGTGGATTACTTGGTAGAGCAAATGCTCCGGAAGTTTCACCAGCAGTCCACAGCCCAGCCTCTGCCAGGGCAGTTGGGTGATGGTGTCAGTGAAGTGGGGTGGAGATGACGGTGGGGTTGTGCTCTGAACCCTTTTATTTATCCACCTTGAGCCAGAAATGGTGGTCTGTGGCCATAGCCAATCCTAACTTATCTTTGCCTTGTTAGGTTTCTCATGTTCATTGTCTAAAGATAGATATATCAAAAAAGCAGGCAAGGATGATGTCTAAACAAAGAAGCCTTGCACAGGAAAGGTGCAGATGTCAGGGGTCTTGCCCACAGGGCAATCTTTGGCTTTTCTTCTTGGAGGAGGGGAGCCCTTTGGTGCGCGTGGTTTCAGAGCACTGGCCCAAAGTCTCTTTGCTTCACGAGTCCCCAGGAGAAGGGGTCTCAGGATTTCCCCTGAATTTGCTCAAGTGGATTTGCTCCCTTTGAGCCCCGGGCTAGAGTCACTTCTAATGAGAACATGGATAGAGAAGCTGGAGTGACTTCCCGGGCCCTGGGCTTGTTAGCAAATTCTTTCCTTTTTTTTTCTTTAAATGTTATTAAAATTGACTTTTGAAACTTGTGTTCCATAAATCCCAAGACACCTGTGAAAGATGTCAAACAAAGAGGTCTCTCTTCAACTGGGGCAACCTTAGTGACTGCATGTCTCCGGGCACAGCAACATGTCCGCAGATAATGGTTGGAACCCGGTTCCCTAAATTTCCCAGATAATTTTTTAAAAATTATTTTATTTATTTTTTTGTGGGGGTAAGGTAATTAGGTTTATTTATTTTTATTTTATTTATTCTTTTAATTAGT